AGTTTCCTTATAACAATATGGTGGCCAAATTGTGGTGCTTTATGGCAAAAAATGGGATTTAATGACTGTGTTAGAGAATAAATAGACATAATTAGACAAAATGATTGAGAACATGATGATAATGATTAGTTTTTTTGCCAAAAGAATGCAGTGTGATTGTATTTAATTCCTCTTTGACATTCAAGCTCGACATCCTGTGTGTGTGGCTGATTCAGACTCAAACTCATTAATGAAGGGATGTCAATTACTGTTTTTTTTTTCCAATCGCTAACAAGCATTGTTCAATACTGAAGCTACATTTTCACGACTGTTCATACAGTCTGCATTACCAACATGTATCTTGGCCAGACAGTAGATCTCACCTCCAAAACTCACTCAGACCAACAAAACACTTCATACACGTCTCAAAATAAGCTTGTTTCACTACCAACAATTCTCATTCAGAAAACATACATTTCATCCATAACACACTGATCTATAAACAAAAACTAAGCATTGCATAAACGCTGAACTTTTATCTTTGAAGTTTGAATGATTTGTCACGTAAGTATTGAGTAGAGTGTGTTGTGCTGATGTTGGTTTCCTCTGGGTTTCTCCCACAATCCAGAGACATACAGGACAGGTGAACTGGAGACTGTAGTGAGTGTGAATATGAGTGTGTGTGATAGACTGGCTATCTGTCCTATCTGACTATGACCCAGGAAAGGCTCCAGCCTCATGACCCTACATAGGACAATTGCTAGGGAAAATGGATGGAATAGATGGATGAATGTTCAGTACTGTGAGGGTTTTAGTCCTCCCTCTCTGCCACTCTTTTTTCCCCCACTAATGTGTCTTCCGAGTGTCAGAAGTCCGACCCCACCTCCGCTCGGTGACACTCGGGAAACGCTCAAGTATGGGATTGCCTGTCAGGCCGATGTACGGTGGGGACTTCGAGAGCCCCAGACTGACACAGTAGCCGAGAAGGCCTGTCAGGAACCCTGAACACGAGTAGCTAACGGGGCCACGGTGAAGGTACGAAGGCCAACCCCCCCATGCCCTATGTCTCGCTAGAGGCGAAGAGGACTAACTAATGTGTCTTCCCTGATCCATGTTTCCAAACAAAATTATTCCCAAGCCATCCATTTATCAAAAGATAAGCAAAAAGAAAGAAAGAAATCTATATCTTACTGATATAGATATCATACCTCAAAGTAATGATGTTACTGACCATTTCCTTGTATCGTGCA